AAGGTGACAGCAAAGTGTGATGGATGAACGAGGAGCTGTGGAGTGGCAGGGTGCTTGGTCAGGAACCCAAGGCTGTGTTTATGAGAAGGAAGAGGCTGTTTCCTGGAGCAAGCATAATGCAGCTCTAAAAAAGGCAGGGGAAATACATCATGCGAGGGAGCGTAACCCTGGGAGGGCCGCTGGGAATCTGAGTACCAGAGAAGCCCCAGCAGGTCAAGGTGCCTCTGACAAGGCCTTTTTTATAGGCCATTTGCGTGAGGATTTGCTGCTGTCCCTGCAGAGCTGACAGCCACTCAAGGTCTCGGTGGGGAGGTTGGAAGCTAATCTTAGCTGTCATTTTCCAGACCTTCTCCATGGGCCCTGCTGATGCATTTAAAAAAGAAATAACAAACTCCATTGTTTTGTTTTGTTTTTTAACTGCAAAAATGACCATTTTGGCTGTTGGCTCTCACACTGCTACAAATAGATGAGGAGTATCAGCTCCTTGCCCTCCTTCCAAACCCAGGGCGATACCCGCGATGGTCAAGAGAGGTATGAGATGAGTTTCCCCCCAAGAGTGCTAATATTTCTGTTTATCTCTACGGATTCGCCTCCCTCTGACTTCCCTGAAGATCCTGCTGGGCTATATAAAAGAGGCTCGGGATAGAATGAGTGGTCTGTATCAGTTTCCTATAGCTACTGTAACAAACTACACAGTTAGTGGCTTTAAACAACAGAAATGTATTCTCTGTATATTTCTGGAAACCAGAAGTCTGAACTGAGTCTTATGGGGCTAAGACCAAGATTCTGGTAGGGCTGGTGCCTTCTGGAGGCTCCATGGGATAATGCAGTGCTCGTCCCTTCCCGCTGTGGTGCTGGCAGTCGATCCTTGGCTTGCAGCCCCGTCCTCCATCCTCCACGCCAGCCGGACAGCATCTTCTCCCTCTGCATCTGCTTACCTTTGCTTCTGTGGTCTAGTCTCCCTCTGCCTCCTTTTATTCCCCCTCAATTTTTTTTATTGTTGTAAAATACACATAATATAACTTGTCATCTTAACCATTTTCGAGCATACAGGTGAGTGTTAAATACATTTATAATGCTGTGCACCCATCACCACCATCCATCTCTATACCTCTTTTCATCTTGTAAAACGGAAACTCTACACCCATTAAACACTAACTCCCCATTTCCCATTTCTCCCAGCCCCTGTCACCCACCATTCTGCTTTCTGTCTGTATGCATTTGACTACTCTTAAGTATCTTATGTAAGCGGAATCATACAGTATTTATCTTTCTGTGGCTGGCTCACTTCACTGAGGGTAATGTCCTCAAGGTTCATCCATGTTATAGTATGGGTCAAAATTTCCTTCCTTTGAAGGCTGAATAATATTCCATATTGTATGTATACACCACATTTTGCTTATCCATTCTTCTGTCGATGGACACTTGGGTTGCTTCCAGGTATTAATTATTGTGATTGATGATGCTGTGAACATGGGTGTACAGATATCTCTTTGAGACTCTGCTTTCAATTCTTTTGCATATATACCCAGAAGTGGAATTGCTGGATCACATGGTAATTCTATTTTTATTGTTTGAGGAACAATCATGCTGTTTTCCGCAGCAGCTATACCATTTTATATTCTCACTGACAGCGTATAAGAGATTCAATTTTTCCACATCCTTACCAACACTTGTTTCTTTTTTTTTTTTTAAGATTTTATCTTAAGATAAATAAAAGACACAGAGAGAGAAAGAACACAAGCAGGGGGTAGTGGGAGAGGGAGAAGAAGCAGGCTTCCCGTGGAGGAGGGAGCCCGATGCGGGGCTGGATCCCAGGACCCTGGGATCATGACCTGAGCCGAAGGCAGATGCTTAACTGACTGAGCCACCCAGGCATCCCCCCAACACTTGTTTCTTTCCACTGTTTTGATAGGAGTCATGCTAATGGGTGTGAGCATGGTGGTATCTCACTCTAGGAGTTTTGATTTGATTTCCCTAATGATCAATGCTATTGAGCAAGATGCTAATGGGCCATTGAAATATCTTCTTTGGAAAAATGTCTATTCAAGTCATTCCCCCATTTTTGAATTGGGTTCTTACAAGACACTCGTGATTACACTGAGGACCCAACTGGGTAATCCAGAATAATCTCCCCATTTCAAGATCCTGCAGGGGTGCCTGGGTGGCTCAGTTGGTTAAGGGTCTGCCTTTGGCTTAGGTCATGATCCCAGGGTCCTGGGATCAAGCCTCACGTCGAGTTTCCTGCTCAGTAGGGAGTCTGCTTCTCCCTCTCCCTCTGCTCTTCCCTACTCCTGCTCAGCCTTGTTCTCTATCTCTCTCTCAAATAAATAAATAATTAAAAAAAAAAAAAGATCCTGCAAAGTTTCTTTTGCCATATAAGGTAACATTCACAGGTTTCAGAGATTAGGACCTGGATATTTTTGATGGCCATAATTCAGCCCATCTCAACTTGTAACAACCACAGGAATTTACTGAGCATTTACTGTGTGCTAAGCACTATGTTAGCTGTCTTAATGCAGGTGTCCATCTAATTCTCCAAATCTATCAAGGAGGCACTGCTCCCAGTTTGCAGACAGTAATAGCTAAAGCTCATTGAATTCTTAGCATGTGCCAAGCTTTCTTGGCTCTTGGATGTATTAACTCTTTGAACTGTCACAGCAATGTATGAGGTAGATACTGCTATGATCTCCATCTTAGAGATGGGGAAACTGAGGCGTATATAGGTTAAGTAATTTTCCCAAGATCTTCTAGTACGAAGCAAACCTGGAATGTGAACCTAAGTGGATAGCTGCTAAACCTTCTGCCAAGTCAGCTTTATTCTTCACACTTCCTAGCACAAGAAGCAAGAGTTTCCCTGACCCTTCACTGTCTTTATTCCACTGACAGGGTGAAAGTGCTACTGTGATCTGAGGGTCACCTGGAAGGTCAACTGGCCAAGGATCAGCTTTTTTCATTGCCTTTGCACTCGGTATTGCCCTCATACCCCCTTTGAAAGTAAACATTCTTACAGGAGTAACATACGGAGTCATTAATACCTTTGTGTGACTAGGTCTACCAGGTAGTTTTTATAGTAGGAAGAGAAGCATGAACCTAGAATGTTACAGAAGAGAGAGTTGGGATTCCAGTATCAACAATCATGGAGTAGATGAAGGAAGGGGGAATAAAACGACTGAGCTTCTGCCCGCAGAGGAAGAGGTCATACTGAGGAGGGAAGGAAGGAGAGAGAGGAGGCATGACAGATGAGAACTGGAGTGTTTTGAACCCACTGATGCCAGGTTTGCTTCACAGGGACTAAGCTGTAAGTGTGGAAATGAATAAACAGCCAACATTGGAGCAGGCACTTTCCTGGGAAGCAAGGTGGAGAGAAGAGGTGGTAAAAGGGACTCAGTCCATCATATTGCTCAGCCCAATAAAACCCCAGTCTGTCACTACAATTTAGTACTTCAAGAAGTGTTCCTTCCTCTCCTACTATGAACAGGGCTTTCCAAAGAGCTGCCATTGAGAGGCTCCTGCCATCATAAGTAGAGTCATCAAGTGACACCTGGATTGCAACCTGACAAACCAGAAGCCTAATTCTGGAAGCAATATTTCTGACAGCACAATATCTAAAAAGTGAATTAGATTTTTTTTTTTTTTTTTTTAAGTTTGAGCATGCCCTGTCCAGGTCACCATGCTTACTTCTCCCATTCTGTATTGGCATAGTCCCAACCCCCTTCAGCCAGTACTCATCCAGCCCCTGAGGGCATTTGAGTTTGCAGCCTTTGGGATAAGGTTTTTTGCCATGTGGCAGTGGCCACCAAACTGTTAGAATGAAAGCTGTGAAGCCAAAGAAAACCATGCTTACAACCATCTTAACTCTGGAAGGTCTCACACCTGACTTTTCAGCTTCATTTCTCCACTAAGTGTACCCCATTAGAATATCCATATGTCATGAGTTTTATTTCTACAAATTATAGGATCAGATCTTTCCCCATTTTGTCCTCTACCTTTGGCTCTCCTGGGAGACTGGAGGCCGTTTCTCCCTTTGAGTATATGGGAAGTGTTGGTCTCAGTGGCTTTTAATGGGTGGGCAAGATTAACCTTTAGTCTCCACATGTACATGGGTTTTGTGGCAAAGAGGTAGTTTGGGCCAAGACTGGGGCCCAATTGCTATTGGCAGGGGCTAGGAAACTAATCAACATCATATCAGACGATCCTGTTCAAAGTAGTAGGGTATCAGAGCTAGAAGAGACCTTAGATGATTCATTCATTCAATAAATATTTATCAAGTGCTAGTATTTTGTTAGGTCCTGGGGTCACCACAATAAAAGACAAAGTTCCTGCCTTCACAAAACTTACATCTAATAATGTAGATACTCGAAATCATGTCTGTAGTCTGATGTCTTTATTATACACTTATCTGTGTCCTTGTGGAAACCAGGATTAGAGTGGGCACGTGAATTGCCTAAAGTCATGTGGCTCCTTTTTTTTTTTGAAGTACTGATTTCATTACTTTTACAAAGCTATTTTATGTTCCTCACACTCAATGCAAAGAAATAAAACAATGTAAAGAAAAATATGTCCTCATTATTATTCATAATAAAACAGGTCTGCTTCATTCTGCAGTCCTGGGCATATTATATAATAGGGAGCACTTTATGGCACAAGTGGACCAAAGTACCATTTTGGTTCTGACCCACTGAATAGACATCTCATGTATATTGGGTGACTAGACTAACTCCATGGGAGCTAATGTACTGAACCATTTCTGTGGTATCCCCAGATCTCACTAAATTAAGAAAAGACTCTATATAAGAAAATATAACAATCAATCTGTCCATAAACTATATCTATCTAAAGCTCTTTCTTTAGTGTAAGGTGGGGAAAGGGGCCCTTTCCCGAGTACATGGATACAAGTATTATTGTGGTCTAAAGATTGCTGGATTGATATTGTGTCTGTTATAATGAAAATAAGGTGTACATCAAAACTACCGCCAGATTAACGTCCACAACTTGTCTCAATTCTTCAAATAACAGAGAAGCTCCCTTTCTAGGCTGACAGCGAGTCCTGGGTTGGCATTGCTGCTGGCTGTGAAACTCACCACCAAAGGTAAACGATTGAATTGAACCACCTGGTGGGTGTTACCGTAACAGCTGATATGTTTATTTTTTGAAAGTCCGAGTTTGCTTCCTTGGACTGTTGCAAGGGCAAAAGTAGGTAAGCAACCAGGTCTCAAAGCATGCTCTGGAGCAATATCATTGGCCACGTCAACAGCAGGCACTCCATCTCTATCTGACACAACGACAGCATGGAGTCCTTCAACACTTGGTAATTTTTTATACAGGAATGACTTTAGGTTACCCACCATGATGAACTTTCTCCCGCAGGATCAATCTCCACTCCTGGCCTTCTGGGCTGCCATGTTCTCACAGCTGTAAACTCAGGGACAGCTTCGAAGACAGTCTTCAGTCATGTGGATTCTTAGTGACAAAATCAGGTTTGACACTGATTTCCAGGCATTTCCTACCTTACCTCCTTCCTTCCTCCACATCCATCTAAATGGATTTCATCTGCTTTCATCTTCCACAAAGCTGCATCCCAAACCATCCTTCTCCTGAAGTTGGTTTTATTGACATCCCCTGAGCTTAATTATCAGTTGATTCTCCTATCTTAAAAGGTCAGCAATTTGCCCCGTATTTATAGAACAGCTTCCCTCCTTAATTACCAGTATGTTTCTTTTCCCTTTAAGTTACATTCAAAGACGTTACCACCTATAGCAATCATTGTATTTCTATGAATGGGTTAAATCCTTGTTTAAATGGGCCATTTTCACGGAAGAGTACATACTGTGTGATTCCATTTATATGAAATTCTAGAAAATACTTGAAAAGAGAAGCATATCAATAGTGTCAGGAGTGGGGATTTACTGCAATGGGGCACAACAGAACTTTCTGGGGTATGGCGATGTTCTATCCTTTTATTTTTTTAAACATTTATTTATCTGAGAGAGAGAGAGAGCGTGTGCGCACGTGCGAGGGGAAGGGCAGAGGGAGAGAATCTCAAGCAGACTCCCCACTGAGCACGGAGCCTGACGTGGGGCTGGATCCCACGACCCCCGAGATCATGACCTCACCTGAAATCAAGTCTGACACTCAATAGACTGAACCACCCAGGCACCCCAATGTTCTATCCTTTTAATGTGGTGTTGGTCACATGAGTGTGTACATTTGTCAAACTCCTCAAACTGTGTACAGAAGATAGATGTATTTTATCGTTTGTAGACCATATATCCATAACGTCAATTTTTTTAAAAGGGATTTTTTGAAACAGGCTTGCCTCTCCGCAAAGAGGCAGATAGGATCTGCCAAGTAGACAGCTGGGACTTAAAATGCTAGTGTGGATTGATTCTGCCCCAAAAGGAAGTGAGACTGGAGAGGTGAGTCAGCCCTTAGCTCCTGTGGCCTCATTTGCCAGGTGCCTGTTGTAAGGTAAGCACTGTTGCTGTGAGTGTGATCCTGGTGTTAAAGACTTTAACTGGTTAGGCCGACCTATGGGTATGTCTTTAGAGAAGCATGGGAGTATGGGCACAGCCATTCTACTTCATGGCCAATTTAAGGACTTTTCAAGCATGGTTTTTATTATATGTGATTCTCATTGTATGAGCTAAGTTAAAACTGTATCTGCTTTTTTGGGGGCGGGCAGGGGGCAGGGTGGAACCACCATCTTCCAGTAATTTGCCAAAATGACCAACACAGAGGGAGAGAGGAGAGGTACCCATTATATGTTCTTAAGGCCTTTTAGGAAGCATGGAGTTGTTCATTGGGCCGCACACGTGGGAATCTACAAGAGAGGTGATATTGTCACTGTGAAGGGAATGGGCACTCGTCCCACAAATGTTACCATGGCAGAACCGGAAGAGCTTACTGTGTTACCCAGTTTGCTGCTGGCATTGTCAAAACAAACAAGGGCATGATTCTTGCCCCCCAAATTAAGTATGTGTTCAGCATATTAAGCACTCCAGGAGTTGAGGTAGCTTCCTGAAGTGTATGAAGGAAAATGAGAAAAAGAAGGAAGCCAAAGAGGAAGGTACCTGGGTTCAATGAAGCACCAGCCCGCTCCACCCAGAGAAGCACACTTTTATGAGAACTAACAGAAAGGACCTGAGGTGCTGGGATCCATTCCCAATGAATTCATGGCATAATGGCGTTAAAACAAAACAAAACAAAACAAACAAATTTTAACTATCTCATGGAGGAATCAACTCCATTTTTTGTTCTCAGCATGCTTGGAGATAGAGGACAGAAACTGAATTCTAAGCCCATCACAGTCTAATCCCTCTGCCCCCTGGGGTATTTGACAGAATGTTTTCCTGAAGTCTTGAATCTATTTTGCAACCTGAAAATAAGCATGATCCTTTCGGTGTCTCTGAATATGGATGTCTGTGTGCATGTGTGTGTGCTTATAACTGGTGACCTTGTCTTTTGTATCAACTTGAAATCACCTCCAAACTCCTGGAAGTGAGAGGTTATGTTGATTTTTACAATAATGTGAGTATTTACAAGGGTCTCCGTGGTTACTTGATAAATACTTGTGAACCATTTGATTTCCTCTGCTTTTCTAACTTCAAATTGTAACTGCAGTTTAATTTTATTTAAATTTTATTTAAAAGGATCAGTTAAACACCCTTGGTGCACAAATCTCCCCCGTGGAAGCACCAGAGAGCTAGTGAAACCATCCCAGGGGGTCTGTGCAATAATTAGGTCACTAAAGTTACTCAGTCTTCTCTAGCCTTACCTCAGCCACTGGGTGATGGACATACTCTTTGGGGGAGTGATACAAATAGGGCTTAATCCTAATGCCTTAGATTTGCTAGGCACTTGATGCATTTCATGGTACTTTCACAAGCACTATCCTCCTAACCAGCCTGGGGGGTATATTGGACAGACATTATCCCCATTTCCTTGCTCAGAGAGAACATCAGATTTGCCTAAGGTCATATGGTGAATCAACAGCAGAGTTGGAACAAGGACCAACAGCCATGGACATTAACAAGACAAGGGCAGAGAAGAAAACTTGTAGAGTTCTCATGAAAGCATTCACCAGATAAATAGATGAGGAAGGCAGTCACAATTTATTGAGTACCTACTATGTGCCAGGCTTTACAAGACATGTTTTATGTATATTTCCACTGCAAGGTCATAGAAAAATGGGGTCATAGATTGTGTGGGGGAACAAAGTTTTATTATCAGGATGAGTGATACGCTCAGTATACTCAAGTACTAAAGGAAATCCATTCACCATTCCTTTTATAAAAATATCCCAGAAGGTAGGGGTGACCCAGCCGCAGTCATTCCTCAAGCTCTGTCTCTATTTCCTTCTTAGGCTCCACCCTCTTGTTGCTCTTCATTTTCACTTCAACTTCACTTATTCTCAATCACAAACTCATTTTCAGTCTTAATTTCATCTTCTCCCCATGATCAGGGAGAATCAGCCTCAATGAATAGTAGCTGATGAGAAGGAATTTCATGTTTCCTGAGTAGCCCCACCTAGTTTCCAACTTGCCAGCACGATTTCTGACACGCCATCTTTCTCACGCCATTCTGTGCATAACTGTTCTCAAATATTTCTATTGAGTAAGCTTGTGTATTGTTTTCTCCATTAATTTGTAAGCTCCCTCAGGATAGGAATTATGGCTATTCTTTGCTCTCTAGACTAAGAAGATAGCATAGTTATTTTTGCATTGTGGGAAATTAATACATGTTTGCTCCTGGTGATGACATGATTATACTTACATTGGGTATACAGAATTTCTTCACTGATCGTTTTCATTTGCTTTTTTGTATTGGATCCAGAAGTTCATCACCCTTTCTTATTTTCATTATACATTATTACTATTACCATTAGATTTTACTAAATGTCTTCATTTATTCATTCAACAAACACTTATTTGCTAGGTAACAGGAATAAAAAAACCAAAACAGCAAGACAATCTCAGACTTCAAGTCCCGAGGCATCAACTAATAAACAATATGGCTGAATTTACTCTTACAGTTGGAATCCCTGCATTTCTCTAGCATCCAACCAGGCTCCTCTAGCTATTTCCTTTTCATGGGGAAAAAGCTTAGGTTAAAGCTTAGGATAAAAGGGACTCCCCCAAAGTAGTAAGTAGTAAGATGCCAAAGAAACATTAGGAACAACTGTACCAAATGAGAGAGAGATCTTTTCATGATTCATGATCTTTATAAGGAGATTTATTTACTACCCTGAGATACCCCAAATCTACAAATAGTTGCAAGATGCCCATGGTCAGGAAATATGACAGACTGGAATTTTGGGATTCCAGCCAGATTGAATATCGGTGAAGGACAGTGTAGGGACTCATGCTGCCCTTTCTTCTCAGTGTGCTGATTTAATACTGGAGTGGGTCAGTGTATGAAAGAAAAAGAAGTATAGGTTTCCCTTTCCTAGAACTTTCTAATTAGGAAGATGCATAGTTTTATCTTTTAGAAGATGTCCAACTGGATAAACATCATTTTATTTCTGAGAGCATAAAAAATTTCACAGTACCTCTTCCCTACATATAGCATCCAGCAATGTAACTGATTATATTATTATTGTCATAGTTTTCACTCTGCCATGGTTCACTATGGTGGTTTTGCTGTATAGACCAGAGCAATAAATAGTTCAGAATATTGGAGTATTGGATATATTCTGTGGGATATGCAGGTAAGAAGTTGGTGAGCATCCTTCACCTTGTTTCTTTACCCTTTCTTATCTCTTTGTTTTTCTAGATCCTTCATAATCAGAGGCTCCCTTATCTCCCTTAACTTATTTTCCATATGGTTCCTCAATCAAAACCCCTCTCACAGGTTAAGTCAAGTTTCCTTACTTTCATCCCTCCCCCACAGGATACAAATCCCTCCCTCAGTTCCCCTAGGGAGGAATGCCTTTTCTGCTTCCCAATCCTTTCCTTCCTCCAAGGTCCACTTTAGACCAATGTCCTCCATCAAAGTCCTCCCTGACAGCTCCTGCCCAGTTCCCTCTTCCTTCTCTGACCTCCTAGTACACAATGGCATGGGATAATAATAGCCTTCTCTGGCCCAGTAGTTGACAAAGCACTGCACTCACTTATGATTTTCACAAGCCCCTGAGGTTGGCCAGGAGAACTTTCTTGACCCCTCAGAGAGAATGAAAAACCATCCCAAGACCATATTGCAACTGGCAAAACTGGGATGTCAGCTCAGGTCCTGGAAGTTCAAAGCTTTTCCACTAGAATCTTTTGTCTTTCTCTCACACTTCTATACCTCAATAGTACCTGGTTCAGAGCTGAGAAAATTAGGCACTCTAATAACTATTTGTGGATTGTTC